GACCTGGTTCAGTTGCCGACTGGGTGTATTGGGACCTCAGGCACCTTCTGAAGCGATCTCCGGCCCGAATGTCGATATTCTTCATAGAAGCTCTCGAGTGAGGACAACCGGAATACTGTACAACTGCGGCTGGAGCTAGATAGAGAGGTTGGTGGAATTCATTCAAGCAGTCCGATCGAGGCTACATGTGGTGCAGCTCATACTGTCAAGTCATCTCATTCGACCCTAATGTTTATCTGCAATAAAGGGTTGCTAACCTTGCATGGAGAATGTTTTCCCTGAGCCTGTTTGGCCATACGCGAATACGGTGCCGTTGTAGCCGGTAATGACATTCTGAGTGTAAACAATATCATTGGTTTTCACAGAATCTTTTCCATCGTCAAACATTTTCTATTCATACCTCAACCAGTGGATAGACGATATCGTTGTAAATCTGCTCTCCAGTTGAGTCCATGAAATAGGCGCCGTCGAAGGTGAACATTTTTGGTGGTCCATCGGATGTCAGCGTGACCTGAGCCGAACCTGGATCCATGGAGACGCATATCTTAATTTGAAATGATCAATTCTTCCGGTTCTGTTGAAGTAGATGCGAAGTTTTCAAGATCTCACTGCAGAATTACACAATCCAAAAGGAAATTATAGTTAGTTGCACTGAATCCCCAGATTCATATGACCTGCCAGAGAGCGCTACGAATATCGTAACTTTTCGTTCCTCTGAATTACGCTGCTGCTTTCAAGGCGCGCCAATGTTACATGCCCAAGAAAGGAAAAGGAAAAGAATCACTGTAGGAAAAGAATCGGAGCTGGAAGTAGTGAAACAACAAAACGAGAATGGGTTTTCATGCGCAGCTTGCCAAAAAATTCAGCTACAAGCAAGAAACTATTACAAAACATGCGGTCACCACCGAGCTCGTCCACGGATTCACCAGTGTCCCTTGAAGAAAAATCGTACACTCAACTACGAGGGCGTGAAACAAACAACTACGAGGGCGGTTCCTGTCTTTTTTGAGATGAAGTGGTCCGCAGCTGCAGTAGCGTGCCAGTTCCTTCCCGAGAAGGTGCAAGGGAAGGGAGTTGGAAGGGTAGTATAAGCTGTGTGCAATCTCTGCAAGGGAAGGGAGTTGGAAGGTAGTATATCCGTGTGCTGTCTCCATACCTACCCCTCCCGATCTCGTGATGGAACATGTAAGTGTGACATGAGGGTTCGTAGGCCGCACGTCCCGAATGTCTGCCACCTGTGTTCGAAGTCCGCGGTCAGCTCAATGCACAGGAGCGGGTAGCTCCTGGTGGCAACACGTGGACGAGCAGACCAATGATATCTAGGAACGACTACACAGATCAATTTACTGCTTGCGATAGCGGCTGCTGGACGTTTAGCATTGAGCTCTGCTCATGGCAAGCTGTTCTCCAGAGGGTGCTGTTATGCCACCGTCGACCTAAAAGGTAGTGTAGAACCTTGCTGAAACTTTATCGGTTATGTTGACGAGATCCATGCTGGGTAGCGGATTCGGAACTGGCTGAAAAAACCATCCATATCTGAGGAGAAAGCAGAGGAAACAAAACAAGAAACAAGAGGCGCTCTTGTTAAAGCCCCCACCCTATTGATTTTAAGCGAAAGGCGGTAATCATCGAAATTCTTTTCAGAGGGACCAATGCTAAAGAGCACAGCAGACGAGTAAGACGATAGACACCAGCGCGGGGTGGGTTGCTTGCACTTGGGTAGATCCACTTGAGAAATCTTGACCACGACGCTCCCAGGTAACACCTTGTGAGGCGAAACTGGTGCGAGGTTCCCCCTTGCGACGTACACCACCATGCTCACATAAGGCTCCGACTCTCTGAATTGAGCGCAAAGTGTGCGCAGAGGGTAGGGCTAGGAAATAAAGAGGCTGGTGGAAGTATTCTAGCAACCGATAAAGTAAAAGAGGCGCTCATCTCATCCCTCACAACAACCCCATCTAACAAGAATGGTAGTGAAAACCCATTTTTGACGAGTAGAACGTATGGAAGCTATAAACTCCCTGCCCGCAAATCATAATTCACATGCTCTGTGAACTCAAAATAGTGGATGATTTGTTGTTGGCGAAAACCTGGAACGAACAGAGCAAAGAGCTTCCATTACATCATAAATTACTGCATTCTTTATGACGATTAATAAGTGTACGGTAAGAATTATGCTTTATGGGATCAATGGAATTTGAGTTTTCACTCCGGAAATCCGTCATATTATATTTTTATATTTACTGCGTAGGCACATGAATCAACCAACTACAAATGAAAAGTCAACTGGTTGCAAATACAGAACCAAATTGGGATGAATGGCTACAAAAGCCAGCCCAAATAGAGGAATATAATAAAAAAAGTAACGCAATGGGGTAACCTGACCAGCCTCCTCAAGTTTCAACGCAGTATCAAAAGTGAGGAAGCACATAATCGATAGCCCTCAAGCTAAATGTTGATGCAGTTACATCATACCTACAAAAGTTTGGACACTTCAAACCTTTTTTTTCAGAGTTTATTCCAGTGGGAAGCAATTTTGATCAGCTATATGTATGTCACCTTCATTGGCAACTTGTTGCCAATCACTACGCAATGTGTGGTTGCCCTGCTTCCAGAAGCCTCTTAGTTCTGTGGCCAGAAAGGCAGCTGGGTCATTTTTGAGGTACTATCAAAAATCGTATTTTTTACCAAGAAGATGGCCGCTGTGGGATTAGTTTAGATGGCGATCGGAAAGAGCTAAGTCAGGGCTACACGAAAAGAACTGTGTGAAATCGCCAGGCTGAGTGTTCGGGCTCTCGAGCAGTGTCGTTTTCCAAATGTTTGACCCTGAGGTGTGGTGGAGTAGGCAAACATTGCTCGGTTTTGGGACCAAATGGTAGAGATTTTCCACCCCACTTTGCAGTTGATTACAATAGGGCTCCCTGGTTACCATAGCGTTGGAAGGAGGGAATTCCGTTTCGAGAGCGGAGAAAGGTACCCCACCACATACACAGCCTCACCGCCCTACTGGATTGATAGGATTGCGCGATCGGTTCTGCCCTTTCTGGGGATCTAGCCGCTGGCGCTCCCAGGAGTGATTCATCTAGAGGCACCCACTCCATATCCAGGCTTATCCGCCATGTGCTCCCCTTGGAGTACTGGTCAACTGATGAGAAAAATTTTGACCGAACTTCAAAACTTTTCTAAGGGAGCGAGGCCTTCTCTCATTTGTGCTTTGGGACCAGTCAAGTGTAAAGACTAGCAAGTTGATTCGTACGAATTGGTTTTAATCAAGGAATACAGCAGGTCCAAATCCAAGGCAGGTGGCCTCCTTGGAAGAAGTTTTTCACGGGACCGAATAGAAAGTGCAGCTAAATGCGGAGACAACATTGAGGGCCATTTCCCAAAAGCCGTACAATGTGGAAGCTAACTTCAAGAATCTCAATAAGTGGAAACTGCCGCTTATGGCTCCAAACGCACGTGCGACCGGCTTTGGTAGCGATTCACATCCATATACGAAGTGTGTCGAAAATGATGAATTTCAATTACCGTTTTTCATATGAGAACAGCGACTGCGAGGGACGGTGAAGAAGCTGTGGAATGCTTACCTCACACACTTCCCATAGACCACATAACTGGATCTCGAATGGCTGCGGAAAAAAATGATATGAAATTCAAAAAGTGTCCCAGAACTTTTGGGAGAACCTAATACTACCGCGACTATTGGACGGACAAAGGGTATGGGTGCCGCGCCGTTCTACCACAAGCCTCGTGAGGCCTTGAATGTGATCCCAGCCCTGTTTTCTCCAACTGCAAAGAGAATCGATCCCAAACATCTTATTTCTTACGGTACCTCTTGGTATAGGGCTGTAGTGCTGCGTTCATATTTTGCGGTAACGTCCACGAAAGACCATAAGGCGTTTCGAGAGGCCGTCAGCGTCAGCGACTAAGAAAGTGTAGATATCGATCCATCAGCGTCCACCAGCGTCCGCCTGCGAACATCAGCATCACGAGTTACTCGATAAGTATGGATATGGATCTAGTGGCTACCATCGTCCACATGATAGGAGGCAGAGAAGTATAGGACGTAGGAGGACAGCAGGCTGCTGATAGAGTGGAGGGAAATAGGAGGAGCAGGCAGCTAAATTAGGGGCCATAAAGTTGCGGTGTGTGCAACCCACCATAAAGTGCTGGGCACAATCCGTCACCTGGTCGCTGCGTGGACGTCTGTTGTAACCGCTGGTGGACGCTGATAAAACGCCAGATCGCGATATTTATTATTTTCATAGGCCGCTTACGAACGCTCGAAACCGTTAGATTTTCTTGGTGGCCTGCCACAAATATGAGCGTAGCTTGAACGAAACCCAGCCCTCCGAGTCAAAACCTCGATTGTGAAACTATTCTGCACAACTTCCAATCTGGAAATAGCCCTTTGAGTATGGGGAATGAGGACTGCAAAACCATAAGCAGAAACGGGCGGATGTACATCAATAGTTCTACTTACGTCTCTACCACTATTGTAAGGCCGGCTCGACTTCCAAATTTTTTTCTCTTGCTTCAAAAATACCGTTGAGCTTCTCTAAAGGGAAAAGGAGCACACTTCATCCTCAAAATTTTCGAACCCTTTCATGAAGCCTCATAGGATTGGAAGCGCTGGGCACCAGGAAGTAAGCATTGTTCCCTTCTCGCTATTAACACTCCGCTCACTGCTAGGTCGCTTTAGTGGGGAGTAATTACTAAGTTGAAGTGAGTTAGTATTGAATCGATTAGAGCACGTGCAACCAATGAGTAGTTGTGCTATAATTGGCACTTTAACGAGATTTTGCTCAATCCGAATCCCCATATGATACCATAGTCAATCTTTTACCCCTCAGTAAGGAATCGCAAAACGCGTCATCCTGATGAAGTCACCATTTTCAATCACCACCGTAATTGGCATGCCGCAATTTTTCCATGCGGTATCTATGGAAATGAGAGCGTGTGTGTGTGGGCATGGCAGGAAACCCCACACATAATGAGAAATTCTTTCGGTCAACTGCGACCATGAACATTAATCCTACGTTGGGATAGAGCAAGCGAACAGGTAATCTTGGAATTGCTAGCGAGGTGTATTTCAATGGAGTTCATGCATGACATGCTGTTCGCTCGAACCGGTGTTTGCAATACGCAACTGAGCTCAAACTGTGTCAAACAATATCAGTTTTGAAAGTTGTATTAGTGAATGCTGCGGGATGTGTTCGACTTCTGGTAGAAGCCATCGGCTTCAATCCTATCGGGGAGTAATGCGAACGATACGACACGCTAATGGGGACTCGCTGATAAAAGGCTATCTCTGCATCTCATTTCAGAAAACTCACTGTCTCTTGCCCTCAAATTAAATGATCAAGTATCAAAGTGCGAGCTACAGTAAGGGCGACGTGCACAATGGCAATTTTGACTTATGTGACACGAGAGACTCTAGTGAGACTCATTCGTCCTTACACTACTGACACATAGCGTGAGCTAGGCTCCGCACGGTGGAACCTCGTGAGAGTTGAGCAGCTTACTACCGGT